CGTCGAAAACCGGCGCGCCCCGATTGGAAAACTAAGACCAGAAATCTACAATAATCTTTAATTCTTGATTAAAAATGATTATAAAAACTTGCTTTTCAATTTATTATATAATTTATAAGAATATGATAGCGCATGAAGATAATAGATTTGCAATAGTAAATGTTATAAGTAAATAGTATTAGTTACTAATGTATTAAAAAGCGATAATTTCATAATATAAATACAAACAAAAATTCAATCAAAACTATTCAATAAAATCACAAGCATTTGAGATAATAACGTTATATTCAACATAGTAAAGCTATAATACAATAAACAAAACAAAAACAAGGTAAAAAAATAACATTTTTAAAATCATATAATTAAGTTTCTGAAATTATTATTATAAAATTTAATAAAACCAATAACAATGTTGATAGTATATAAAAAAATACAAACCATTAGAAAAACAAATTAATATTTTTAAATATTAAGTATATACATTTTTACTGCCTAATAATAAATAAGATATTCAATCTACGTTATATAATTTTTAAATAAAATATTTTTATTAATTAATATTATTAAATCAGTTTATTAAATATTATTTGTAGAATATAAAAATTAAATTATCATTACTTGGATAATATTGGTTGTTTGAAAATTTTTTAAGTTTTATAAGCTTTTAGAATATCTATTTAATATTTAAATAAACCTTATATTTTCGTTCAATCAATTTCCAACATATCATGTTAATACATTATTCTTTGTTAGATTATTCAAATGATTAAAAATTTGTCATAATAATGTTACATCTTTACAAATTATTGACTATTTATAATATATAATTTTTGTAGCTCTGTTACTTTGATTGATGCCATAAAACTGATGAAATTAAACAGAACTATTTGGTATATGATAATTAACAAAAAGAAATTAATATTTTTATACATAATTTTTTATATTAGTGATAAATCTGTTTACTTATTTTCATTTTCATAATAACTACTTCAAAAATATAAGAATCTAAAATTAAAATTAAAACATTTATAAAAAAAAATTCAAAATCTGTAAAGTTGATTTATATTTTTAATGAATTATCAACTAAAAGTTCAATAAAAATTAATAAATGTCATATATTCTAAATTTCCAAAAGTTAATAATTATTGTTGGTTAAAAAGTTTTAAAAAGACAATTTAATACGTACATTTCTTTTATGCAAATTAGAAAATAAAATATTAACCTGTAAATCCCATAAAGAAATGTCCATCTTATTTGTATTTATTTATATTTGTATGTAGATATGCATCTGTATGCATATATTTATATATGTGTGTTTGTATAGATTTACATTACCAACATGTTACTTATATATTTATTGAATATGTTATCATGTTTCTATAATAAAGGACCTTTTAATAATTTCAATTGTTTTATGAAATAAAACAAACACAAAAAAATAATTAAACATTTACACGTATGCATTTTATAAAGTACATGCTATAATTTTAATAACTCAGGTTTAATAAAATCAAACGAATACTATTCAATATATATTAAAATTTCGTTAAGCAAACAAGTAATATTTTATAGAATAATATATTATAATTTACAAAAATGAAATTTAATTTTATATAATTCGACTTCATCTAATATTTTTCGATTATACTAACCTCGAAACTGCACCCTGTTAAATAAACTGGTTATTATTCTTAACTCAGGATTTGGCGTATCGCCAAGCTAGAATACAAAAAAAAAATTATTATCATTAGTTATCTTATGTAAATTTGTTTAGATTGTTTATTCTTTTGTAATTTTTTTTTACCAATCCAAATTCACCTATTGATTTTTCATACCTAAAATAGGTTCTACGGTGTTATCAAGTGCAGTGCATAAGGAACCGTTATAAGATATTTAAAAGATATTTAAGGCGTGCGACTTCCACCCGTTTTCACCTAGTTATAGCAATAACATAGATCGTAATAAATCATAAGATGAGAATAAAGCAATGGAATAATATAAGATAAAACTATGGTGATAATTACATTATAAATTTGAAATTCAGTCTCTTTTATTCAATACAAAATGCTTTTATATAATATTAAATTAATTTTTTTTTCTTAATTTTTTATTCCTTTTTTATGCTGTTTTATATTCTTTTTAGAACGAAAAGAGTAAACTCTCTTGTTTAAATTTCGATGTATGATATTCTGTAAAAATCTTGTAAAGCTTTATTTTAAACAAAGTATCGTTATGAATTTTGTTAGATTACTTTAATCTCAATGAAAAAAATTATTAATTATTCTTAATAGGAATATCCTCAAAGATTAATACATACGATATTTTGATTGTTCAATAATACTTCTAATTCATATAAGTGTAGTAGCTTAATTTAAAATAAACATATTATAATAGTTCATATATAATTATAAAAAAATAATTTTATTGATCATTAAATTTAAATAATAATTATTTAAATTTGAATATTTAAGAAAAATAATTTATAAAAAATGAGTAATATAGTTGAAATCCAACTGCATCGGTATACAATGAGATGTATACCGAACCATTGGCAACTGACGCACAGCTGACAAACGGGTATACAATAAGTGACGGGTGGGTGAAGCTCATTTTTCTTAACTGTACCCTATACTTGTATTACAAATGTAAAAATCTTTAGGTCTTTTAATCTATCATATTAACGATCGGTCTTATCGGTATCTCGATCCCCTTTTAAGTGAACATCATGTCAATTAAAAAGATAATTTTAATATATTACATTCTAAATAATTTATTTTACAAATTTTTTTTTATTTAATGAACTAAGAAATTTATTTACATTAAATGATACCACTATTTTATCAAATCCTTATAAAATTATTATCTGATCATACTACATGTGTTCCATAAAACTTAATTTTACATTGTTTATTTCACATGCTTTCTATACCTAAAACATACCTCAATATATTTATCACTAATTTAAATAAATATTATATAAGAAATATATTTACTACGTTTAATAATAGAAATATTTATCATAGTAATAAATATTAGTATAACAAGTGTAGGTGATTATTGATAAAAAATCGTTTAGTTTTAATATTGCTTTATATTCTTATATATAGTAATTAGCTGTCATAATATTATAATTTAATGTTTTAAAATTCTTAATATTTTTATCTATAATCTAATACATACTATAGCAAAATAGACAATGTAATAAACTATAGTTCATAATTGTATTACATATAATTATTTATTAACGAATTTCACACAAAATTATATTATAAATGATACTAAATCAAATTTTTAATTCAATTCATAAAAATAAAATAGTATTATATAAACATTAAATAATATTGACCATTATATTTAAAGTTAAATTTATATTATTTAATTAAAAAGAAGCTATTTTTAAAGTAATATTAAATTTAAGCAACTTACAATGCGTATTAACAATTAAATTAGTAACTTTGATATTAATAAAATAATAGTAATTGAAAAATTTATAATTAAAATTATAAATTTTTTAAGAAACTTTTAAAAATACTACTTTTTAAAGGGTTATTACTATACTATAATTAGTTATTAATTATTATACTAATTATGTACTATATATTAATTTTATTAAGTTAATTATTAAGTTACTTATTAGTTTTACCTAATATTATATCAATCGATGTTGAAATAATAGTTCTTCAAAGAATTTTCGATTTTTTAGTGGTTTATTTATAGATTTGTTAAAATATAAAATAACTCTGAAATTATTTTAACACTTTAATATAATATTATTATATACTTATGGACTAAAATGATATTTATAAAGAACCTTCAAAAAAGATATGTATTTTTCAAAATATTATTTAAATAAAGAAAAGAATGATTAATCAACATTAACTAAAATTATATGGTAATATATTAGTGTTTTAATTATAATATTCTAATAATAATGCAATATTTAATATTGAAAATTTCATATGTTTAAATCGAATTGTCTCTTGCATTTATCCTAATATATTTTCCTTAACAGAATATTACTAATTCATTAAAATGTTTATTGACATGACTGAATAATAATACATTTTTATCAAAATAATAAGTATGATCTAAATGAAGTTTGATAATCAACTCCACTATTTACTGAATTTATATATTAAATGAAATAATAGCATTTATTAATAAAGTATTAGTTATAATTTCTATAAATAATTAAAATAACGTAATTTACTTTTTATTCTCTTCCGTATTTCAATAAATTTTTGTTTATTGGTATTACAATTGGAATACAATTTTTTTCCTATGAAATGTGAAAATTCATTGTTTGATTATCATACTTCTTCACTCGAGATGTCATCGAAATTTGTTTGTAAGGTACTGTTCGGTTATTTACAATTTTATTGTTACTTGTAATTTTCATTTATTCCTTTTTTGATTTAAGCTTTATATTTTTTATATATCTTCAATTTATTAATTTTTTATTCTCAGAATATTTATTGTTTTGAATTAATTATGACATTTTTAGTTAATTTGTCGAAATATTTTTTTCCTTTAAATTTACTTCTTTAATATTTAAATAAATTAGAAAATAATTTAATTTTTGCAAATATAAAATCTTTCGTAATATTATTGACAATAACTGAATGATATCATATATATTAGAAAATTTTTTTCAGATTTTTCAAAATATTTAGAAATTTGAAATTCATATCTGTACCAGCAAAAGTATTGGATTGATTTTATTCATATAATTTTCTGTTTATTGACGATTTTCTACATTTCTTTAATATGTTTAATTGATTTTAGTTTATAATTTTATACAAATATACATAAACATACGTAAATTTGAAATAGAAAGAGTTTTTTGTTTTTTATTACATATATTATAAAATATTTTATTTTTTCTTGTATTTGTTCTCCAAAAGCTTAGATTCATTGTTTTTATTATCAAACTTTTTTTAGAAGAAAATTAAATGAATACAAAAACTAAATTTTTAAAAAAATGAAAAGTGATTTGAAAATTCTTTTACTTGAAAGAATGAATTTATATAATTCTGAGAAATTTCCACTTTGTCGAAAATTGGCATTTCGCATAAAAAATAATTTTAGAGCCCTTTTAAAGTCCTTAAATTTAAATTCATTCACTGAATTGATTAGTTTGTCTCTTTTTTTCTTATCGTAATTAAATTTCGGAAACAATGTAATAGTAGATATACAAAACAAATCTTATATTTATTTTTGGATGATAGCACCTACAATTTCTTCCTTATAATCATTATAAAAAAAGAAATTTCTTTTGAATATTTGACTTTTGAAAACTTCAATTAATACGTACATTACTTTTTATTTAACAGATGAATTCAATATGTGTTACTTCAGTTTTAAAAATTTTTTATTATTTTGAAATTACCTTTTAAAATATAATATTCATTACAGTTACTGATATAGTAGTTATGTAATGTTTAAATTTTTATTCATTTAAAATTTTACTGTGTTATACTTTTATAAAGAAATCGTTAAATTAAATTACATTAATTATCAATTAAACTTTCATTGCTGAAGGAAATTTATAGTTTGCATTAAATTGCATTCATGCACTTAATTCATCCATTTGATTTGAAATTTAAAATTCCAATTACATTAACATAATTAAATTAAAATTGAATGCAGCTATTACTAAATGTCTAAGTTCTTTCTAATTTTTAATGATAATGTTTTGTGATATGGTTACAGAAAAATGAATTATATTGATAATATAAAAATGATATAATTATATAAATAAATTATAATTATTAACATGATAATCATGATAAAATTAATACTGTTATTTAGATGTTTACATTGTTAAAGGACATCACATCATACTTATCCTGTTAATTATTTTAATTTATTGTTTCGCTTTATATTTTCAATACATTTTTTTTCTAGAAGATCGAGTGAGAAATTATTTTTATATTGATAAAATATAAAATGTTATACTTTTTATGCTAAATGAATTATCAAAAGAATTCATAATGCATAAATCAATATTTTTAATAAAACATAAAAAATAAGAAGTTCAGTTATAAATTAAAAATATTAAATATTACATTAAAATTTAGAAGTACGTTGAATTATCAACTTCTTTTAATAATACTGTTCAGGATTGGAGCATTTTCCAAGACCTTTGACTCTCGGAAATATATAGTCCTTCTAGTATTTTGTAACCATTGTGCTTCTCGGAATTCTGCAACTTCTAAAGCTTTACTTTCCCGGAATTCTAGAAACTTCTATAGCTTTATTCTCGAATCTTCTACAATGTTTATCTAGTTTCTGCATAGTAATACCTCTCCATTGTTGCCAGCTAACTAAGCTATCGCGTGGATATATAAAGCAAGCACGGAACGAATCTCTCTCAGTAGAACCGCCACGGAAGGAACAGCTGTCAATTTGTGTGCGCATTCAACTAGGTAACCGGCAAGGAAAAAGTGTTGGAAGAAGAAATCAACGGTGTTGTGATACCATATAATTCGAGAACTATTCAAGTGATATGGTAACAACCTCAACAACTAAGGACTGACATAGAGCCTTACGCATAGTGCCAGAGTGCACTGCCGATGCGGTTGCAGGCAGAGATTGCAAGGGCTCGCTTCCACGAGACAGTGCTAGCAAACGTCACTCAAAGCCAGTTCAACGACGAGACCAGCAAGTAGGTGACCAGCATGTGGCACTACACTAAGAGGTATCCAGAGATTTACGACCTCCCACTTCTCCGTGTAGTAATCCACCACCAAGCGCATCGCGTCAAGAGAACTCGGAGATTTACGGCCTCCTGCCTCTACAAGTAGTGCATGCTAACACCACGTGGCAACAACCAAGGAACGGCAAGATCTCATCGATTCTCACCATCAACGTAGAATCATTCTGGTGTAGTTGTAAAAAAACCACAATAAATAAGCACGAAAAGCAGATGTGTTGACTACTGAATTGAAGCGCTTCACTTATCCAAACTTTTTTCCCACTAGTATACTGGTGGACATTGTCTGGTGGACCCCAATGAGTGGAATTCTAAACAAACACTTTTTAAATTATAATATAATTTTGCTATTTTAATATAGCATTTTAAAGAAAATTGTTTTCTAATCAAATGTTTAATTAGTAGTATAATTTTCCATTTTTCTATTAAATAGAATGATTTACATAGTTGATCATCGAAAAGGATTTATTTTAACACAACGACAAATGAATGTAATAATAATGAATTATAAATAACGTAACTATCATTTCTAAATAAATTTTAATAGAAACAACAAAAAATAATTTAATGAAAATTAAATTTCTCTCAATTTATCTTGAATACGATAGTGACTTTTATCGTAGTTTTCTTAATAAATTTATATTATTATTGATGATTTAAAAATTTCATGAAAAAATTTTTAACTATAACAATTTTTAGTTAATTTTAGCAATTCATAAATGATTAATAAAAACTAAAATTATTTTTACATTAAATATTTAAGAAATCGTTTCAATTTTTTAAATTTACTAGATAGAGAGTTTCTATAACTTTACTATGCATGGAAAGTATTGTTATATATTACGTTATATATTGATAATTTTTATTCTTTTTCTAGAACAAATAATTCCCTTGAACTATTTATGACTTGATTGTATTTTTTCAATGAATTAATTTTGTTATATACATACGTTCATATACTTTAATATTATTATAACAAGGTTCGTGTATATTATGGTTACAGAGGTAAAATAAATACATAATAAACATACTGATAATATTGTTCTCATATATATACTACTTACACAGCATTACTAAGAACTCGGTTGTTATTTAATGTTTTATAGTATGCTTGAAGTTATAGTTAAAAAAATAGTACGTAACGTTATTATAAACTGTAATGTTTATGAGTAGATAATACAAATTCAAACCATTTAAATTTCCATCAAGATGATTTTTTATTACAAATGCCGACGTAAAATAAGAATAATTAATTCATAAAAATTGACGAGATTAATTACCTGGACCATAAGAGAAATTGCAACGAGTCCTTGACTTTTGTGTTGGGCTTCACTCATATTATGATAAAGTTCTGCATTGAAACCATAAATTTGAATCTGTAATAAAAATATACATAAAATATAAAATAAATTTTCAGTATATAATTTTATAATACAGAAATTAGAATTTTCAACATCGATTTATATAATTTATTTATAATATATACATTTAATTTTTATTATATGTACATATCCCATCACAATATTATTGGATAGAATTAAATACAAATTTTGAATTACTTCAATGTAGAATATAAATTACATTAATTATTCTATACATTATCATTATTAATATAAAAATTCTTATTAATGTAACACAATTTTTAATTAAAAAAGTTAGTCTGTAAATGAAAGTGAATATACGATGCAATAATACAATAATTCAATGAATTACTTTAAAACGCTCATTTTTTTAAATAACTGCTTTAGTAAAATTGAAGTACATTAAAAAGCATATTTTAAAACACAAAATAGATAGAAATGTAACATAATATTCTTATAAATTTATGTTTACACTTGCTTTTATTCAATGAGAGCCAATTCTTTCTTTTTGTTTAAAATAATATCAGTGTTTTAATGATCATAGTTTCTACTTAAGTATTGAATTACATTAAAAATATATCTTAATTAACATAACCCAATGTAACAATTATATAGAAAATACTGTAAATATTTTTACTATAATTTACTGACTGAAAGAAATAATAATATAAATTTTATAATTATAAACGAAAATAAGATTTAATTTGAAGTTATCAAATTCAATTTTATTATTACAAAATCGAAATTTTATATACCGTTTTAAACTATCTAAAGTAAAGTGAATATTTTATGTTAAAAAATTTTTTACAATTAAAGTGCATCGGTAATATAGATACAAATTTTAACGAATTTTTATAATAGTTGATATTTGAAAATTTTAAATAATTAACAAAATTTTTGTTGAAATTTTAGGTGGAATTAATAAGAATATATACAGTTTATAAATTATAATTTAAACATGGTTTTAATTAAAAAAAAATATTATTTTAACAATAAATGTTTTAAATCTAACTATGTACTAGATAAGTAAACAATTTGTATTTAAACTGTCTATAATATGCTAAATATACGAAATTCTTAATAATAAAATACAAAAAATTAATCTGTAGAATAGGTAATAAAAGGACCTCATTCTTTACTCTCATTCAGAGATTATGCAAATCTCTTTATAATATGTATACATTCAATAATAAAAATATATATTATTTTTTCATTTTTAACATTTACAACTCATTTTTTAAAAATAAGATATGAATAGATTACAGTAGTAAGGCCTAATAATTAATTATAGTAATATTTATAGTGATATTAAGTATAAAAATTGATATATATATATATATATAACAAAATTATTTACAAATAGCCAAATAAATATTTAAGTTTCTTAAGTAAACGGTAAGTTGAAGAAATAAATTAAAAAAAATTTTGTAATATTTTTTATTTTATTAATAATTTGGTTACAAAATGAGGAATAAAAAAAACTATAAAATAGTGCATTTTTGCAAGCGTCTTTTTTTCTTTTAATTTTTTATTATAATGAAATATTAAGTATTACAAAAAATAAACTTAAGTAAATAAATTATAATTACGAATATAAAAAATTATAGTGATAAATCATTGTTTCAATTCCAATTATATTTACAAAATTATATGTTTAAATTTATTTATTTTTTTAAATTATTTTGAATATTATTTATAATATTCTATAACTATACATATATTTATTAAAATATTTAAGTGCTTTTTGTGTTATAATATATATAATTAATATTTATATTTAATATAAAAAAAATATATTATAAAAGTTCTTGTAAAAAAGAATAAGATATAAATGTTTTTTTATTTGATTAAATATATAATGATAAAGGATCGATATTTTTTTTTATTCAAAGTTTTACTTAATAATATATTTTTTTCTTTTCATTAAAAATTTTAAAAATATTATTAATATTATAATTAATTGAGTTTCAGTTTTATTCTATCAATTAATGTATTAATCACTTTACTACCATAGCTTTCTCGATATTATTTTATAATGTATGAATCTAATTATAAATATTATATCAATATAATATAATATTGAAAGTAATAGTATAATATATTTATTCTAAAAATATTTAGCAGAAAACACGTTTCTTTTCAATTTTTAAAATTTCAATTATATAAAGTTATTCATGTATTCATATGATTAGTGATTTCAATTTATTATTTTGTTCTCATTTCTAATTAAAATACTATTTACTATAATGTTATCACGAAAAATTTGGCTAACTGAAACTTTCTACATACATATGAATAAATAACGTATCATGTAGGAATATTTTTTTTCTTTATTGAAGTTCATTACTGTTAATTATAGTATTTTTACTTGAGTATAACAGGAATTTAGATAGTAGATAAAATAAAAAAGAGCTTTCTTATGTGAAATAAAGAATTCCAATAATATTTTTATCGTATAGTAAAAGGTGAACCAAATTTTTTAAGAATCATAAAATAAAAATATTATCATGAAATAAATATATGATTGAATGGTGATATTCGAAATAAATGTTACAAGTTGCGATATATTTTAATAAAATTTAAGAATAGTGATTGAATAGAATATATAAAACATAATATTTAAATTCACTTAATTCGCAAATTAAGTTTCAAACAACATCAAAGTGTTATAAAGAAATAATTAATTCTTAAATAACATAAATTTTAAAACTCTCTAAGAATCAGAGACGTTGTATTTTAATATTAAACATTTTAATAGGAAAATGATTCCTGTCGATAATCCATTTTCTACGCTGGACTGACTCATAGTCTACTAGTTTCTTAGTAGAATTTTGTTGCAATATTGATATTTTCATACGATAAATATTAATATTTGTATTATCAATTATTAATATTCGTTAAATCAAATTGATATAGCTAATGAGTTTTATTATTAAGTATAATATATATTTAAAGAATTGGAATTTGTTGGGATTTTTTTTAATCATTTACTAGGTACTGTACTTATTTATTACACTGTATTTATTTTAATTAAATTTTTTCATTAGTTATTTATGTTTAATTTACCTCGGCAGGAAACGCATAGTTGTTTACGTGATGTTCAGAACCATGATTATCATCTTGTCCATAATGAATGTAAATCTCTTCAAATTGATAGTGATATGCAAGTGGCCCACCAGTTATGTTAACACGCATCTTCGATTCCTTATTTGTACGAAATACTAAAAATTGTCCGGTATTACACAAAAATCCAGAGATCTACAAAGAGAAAATTTTATTTTTGAATTCTATCCTTTAATTTGCTTACATTTTAGTAATTTATTTTTCAATAATTTAGAATTAAGAAAAGACTTTAGTTTTCAAATACAACGGCTATTAAAATATAAATAAAATAATATTGAAAAAATATAAAGATATGAAAATTTTACCAACATATTTATATATATATATATATATATATCTTTGCTTATAAATATTTGAAAAAGAATAATAAATTTTAGAGTTCTAAGTTAATAATCTGAATTTAGAAAATAAAGTTTTTATCGCGTTTCAATTTAAACGGTAAAGTTTCTTTCATTTCTTCTTGAAAAATAAATTATTATATAAAGACCATGTTATTGAAAATTAAATATATAAATTTTTTATAAAATTAAAAAAATAATTTTCTAATATATGAATGATTATACATGATATTTTTTAATGTAGAAAATAAACATTACATATCATAAATCAATTAGTTAAAGCAAAAAAAGAAAGTAAATTAGTTAATTTGTTATTGAAATTCTATTAAATGATCATATAATAGTTATAACATTTTATACATAAGAACGATATCGATGTATTTACCTATTTAAACTCGTTTTTCATTATATAATATTAACTTATACATATTCATGTTAATTGAGAAGTATAATTTCTTTATTGACTAATTAGATTTTCAGAATATCAGATCATCATTGATACTAAACTAAATTAAACATTAAACTAAAAATATTTATTTGTTCTCTATAACTCGTTTTTATCACATATAGACATCATCTTTTATAATATATTATAATTTTCATTTAATCTTTAAAAATAAATACAATAGATCACATCTTCTTTGAACGTAGTAGATTATGTTACGTTAAATCAACTATTCTATCTATCTATCTATGCATCTGTTTATTTATTTATTTGCTAACCCACCTATCTCAATAAACCAATTAACCAACAGATATGGATGATGATGTATTTGTGAGTACTATCCAATGATACTTGTGATTTTCGAACTTTTTGCAGTAATATCTCTGTATGTATGTACTTCCATACAATTTCCATTAAAAAGCAAAATTAAAAATGAAATATTTCTTTTAAATATGTTCAATTCACTAATTTAATTATAATTTCACTGTTAGATTTATCTATGTATTCTTTAAGTTTTCATGTGCTCTACCGCCTTACTTTTTAATCTTGAAGGTACTAACTTTTTTTCATTTGTAATACTAATTTTCATAAATTTCCTGGTAAAACTCATGTAGAGATTTAAGTACATTATGAAATCTTAAATTATTACGGTGATAATATTTGAAATGTTTATAAAATATATATATATATATATATATATATATATATACAGATATACATTATTTTTTCTGATTTGAGCTTGTCTTCCAATTTGAGAAATATGTTGATTTTATATTTTTTTTTGTTAAGAATATGATATATTATCGTTTCAAATATACGCAAAAGATAATTATATATAGTACAATTTTATCATTAACAGATTTATATTTTATACAGTATATTATGTATATAACTGAGGGATTTATCAATTTTAACTTATATTTTGAAAAAAAATAACGACATTTTATTACATTAAAGAAAAAAAAATGAAAATTGTTATAAATTAAATAAAAAAATTACTGTTTTCATACAATAATTTATTTAATTTTTTTAAATGAAATGATTTTTAAATATATCCTTACTCATATTTGTTAACCATTGTATATTTATACTTTAAATACAAACGTAAACAATGGACGAAACTAGACTATTTTAATTTCTTCAATTAATCCTTTCAAAACTTATTTACAGAATTCTTATTAGTATAGTCATAAGTCAATTTAAAAAACGATTTTATTATATATTTTAAAATTCACATATTAGTTCTAAACAGACTCTATCATTTTAAATTTTGTATTTATTTATTCTTTTTTCTTTCTCTTAATCATAGAATGCATATAATAATAACTATTATATTTACTAGTATGCTATAAATTTGTATAACCTTCTAGAAGTAGTATTATAATAAAACTTGAATATATACGCAAGAACTATAAAAAGTAAATTATAAAATTAAAAAATAAGATACAAAATGTATCTGAAAATAAATTAAAGATGAAAATGAAGATTAGTGATAAGTTGTATATGCGTTATAACCCGAAAATTATACATAAAAATAAGAGAGACGACTAATGAAACTACATAAAATGATTGACATATAACAATGAGACCTCAAATATTAAAAATAGGAGAAAACAAAATTCTTTTTTATTCTTATACTTAATATTTATTTATTTACTTGGTATATGTTTATGCAAATTCATTATGTAGTGGAATTACGTATTATATACATGTATTATATATTATATATTATATTTATATATATATATATATATATAATATATAATACATTTTTATAATATATAATATCTATTATATATTATATACGTATTATATATATGGAATTACATATTATAATTATATAAAATTTACATCACCATTTTTTTAATTAAATTTAAATTATACTATTTTGATAATAATTTATATATTATATTTTATAATACTAACAACCTGAATTATTCTTTAAAGAAGCTAAAGAAATTTTGAAAAGAATTTTATCCGTAATTGTTGTCTCGTAATTTATAATTTTGCCAAACATAATTATATTTGTAATATATTCAAAAAATGATAATTTAATTTTTAAATTAATAAAAAAAGGACTCACTATTGTAAAAGGTAAATAAATATTTATAATTTATTTTAATAAATCTATATTATTATGAAATAATATGTTATTATATAATATAATTATAGGAAATTATTGTAATGATATACATTTTAATTTATATAAATACTTATAGCTCAATACATGTATTAAAGAATTTTTAAAGAAATAACTTAGAACTTAGATTATTATGTTCCATATATATATAATGCAACAATAGAATAAAAAATAAAATTTAAATATAATTACGAATTAAATTTCTTCTAAAGAATTAATATGCAGCATAATGTGTACAATATTTTATCAGCGTCGATAATGTACTTCGTTACTCGGCAAAAAGTATTGGCATGGAAGTTTAGATGTCTCGTCGATATTTATTTTTGTTATTGATATCTACTGTTTCTCTTTCTCTCTCTCTTGTCGCTCACTATTTTTTTTCTTTCTGCTTTATTCTATTCCCATTAACTATAGAACCTTAAAGTGAAATATTTTATACATCTATGTAAGCAAAAGAAGCTGCACATAAATAAATAAAGAAACATAAATATTATAATTATATTCTGCTCATATATCTACTAGATCATTGTATTATGAAAGTAACATAATTTACAATTATTTTGATGTTTTAAAGTTAGATCTATCACAATTTAAAAATTAACGATAATTTTACAATAAAAACTGATTTTTTTTAAAATTAATATCACATATCAGTTAGTAAGTGCTATATTAAAAATTTGTGCGCTTTAATCAAATTTGTAAAAATGATTATAAAAGACAGTATTATAAAAAGCCTTAATTAAATTAATGATTAATTATTGGCTTAATTATTTTGAAATTACTTTGCCTTAAGCAAAATACAAATTATATTTAAATTTTATATTTTTTACAAGTTCTATTTTATGATAGTTTCTTTGAATATATCTATTCTAAAAATTAAAAATATAAATAAATTTATTATTATTTATAATATTATATCTGACATCAACATTTTCTAAATTGTAATCATGGAGTTCACTTTATTAGTATAATTCTTTAAATTTCTTAAAAATTGAAATTACATGATTTTTAAATTTTGAATACTTGTATCATCAATATTTTATAATATTTTATAGTTAATTGCCAAATGTTATTCTTTTACTGTAATAAATTATACAACTGGTAATGTTTTTTAATTCCAATCTTCACTGAATCGATAACTTTAACGATGCGGATACTAAAATACTGAAATTTTTACTTAAAATTGCGTGTAAAAATTATTTTGTAAATTATGTTTTTAATAATACATATTTATTGGAAACTTTCGAAAATGCAGATGTCTGGGATCAGACTCAGAACCTCCTGATGATGATGGATGGAGGCTTGCTGGCAAGTGGAATGGGCAATGCAATTATTCAATACTGCCTTTAATGTTTATTGTCTTTCCCTTTATTAAATATAATAAATATAATGAATAGTCAACGATCTATGAATGTCCGAATGAATGTGTGAGATAATAAATAGATGAGTGTTTCTTCAATTAATTTAGTGGCGATAAGCCTGTAAGTGTATTCTTAAGCGTGATTCCCCTTCTCCTTATGAGTTGAGTAGTGTAGTATTGAGTAGAGTTAGTAGTGTGGGAGACTCGTGCTGGTAGGGGCAGCGAGTTGGTACAGCCTTAGCCGCCGGCGTAGGGTGAGCGCTGTTGGGCCGGAGTGGTGGGAGGATGTCCGTGTGACATCACGGCTTGTGTACGTTAGATCAGATGTGGTAGTGGTATTGGTGCACGTTCGTGGTGTGTTCTGCTTACGTAGTTGCCAGGGCCTCTGTATTAGTAAGACGTAAGAACGAGCGTCGGCGTTACTTACATGCGGGCGTAAACCGCGAGTGTAGAGTGGCGGTCCTGTCGTGATGGGTGCTTGTTAACTAGTAAGAAGGAATCGCGGCACGTGCAGCTCCTTAAATATTCTCGTACGAAGTTGCGGCGCCGATCGCGCATCGGTGGCTTTTGCTATGCCGATATTTGTCGTGACGTCAATAGGGCATAGCCTTGTAGGGTTCATTGTCATTACTTTTCGGAAGTATAGTCGTATATTCGAATTTTCGGTATAGAAGCATTCTTCGAGTTCGTTGGCTAGTGTTTACAAAACAAATGTTCGCGCGCTCATACCTCTCCCACGTTCCGACTGATACTACAGAAGGATCGTTATACTTCATAATTTCCAATCATCACTTTTGTAATATAAGTTAAATTAATTTTCTCAACACAAGTCTTCAATCTATCATTTATAGGATGATGCATGCTTATTCTCTTCTCTTCACAGGTAATAGAATCGATAACATCTATTGAAATTGTGGGAAGCTAACGTCTTTCTGTTAATTATTTATTAATAATTTATTATTTTACTGTAATGGAATATTAATAGCTTATACAATTAAACCCAGAGTACATAAACTGACGTTTTATAGCACTGATTGTTCTTCTGGTAACGTTCTCTAACGCATCTTTAAAAATATGAGTGTCTGGGATCAGACTAAAAACCTCCCTTTGATGGTGGGCGGAGGTGTTGCTGGCAAATGTAAGGGCCAATGCAATTATTCAATACTACTTGTAGAGTTTAATGTTATTCCTTTTATTAAATATAATAAATATAACAATAGTTAATGGTCATATGTGTATGAATGGATAGCGTGAGTGAATTGTGTGGTGAAGCTTCTTCAATTGTTGTACGTGATGATGAGAGTGTGTGTACTCTCAGTAGAGTGAGGCGCATTTCCTTTACATTACAAGACGAGTCCCTGTAGTAGTAGACGCGCACTGGAGGGGCGAGTGCGATACTGCCTTAGCCGCCGGTGTAGCGTGAGCGCCGCTGCTGTCTGTGTGGTGGGGATGATGTCCGCGTTGCGCCACTGCTTACGTGAGCGGGAGGTCCGCTCGTATAGGTGTGGTTGTAAGGAACGGTCGTATGCGTTGCTTACGTGGGCGTGAGCTTATTGGTTTTTATTGGTTCCCACTAGTGGTTCCCTGAATTGCTTGATGCTCTATGTACGTGTATAGACGCAGTACTGATGCTTGTAGAATTCCTGCTTGCAGGACGAATAATGAGCCTGTCGTGGAGACTGTATGATTATTAATTTGCATTACTACAATGCGCATCAAGCGCTGCTCTTAAATATTCTCGTGCGAACTTAAAGCGCCGATAACGCACCGGTGTCTGTTACTATGCCGATTATTATCGTGATGTCACTAGGATATAGCCTTGGAGAGTTCATCGGCAGTGTTAGTCGGAATTATAATCTAATATTCGAGTATTCTGCGTAGTAAAATTTCCGGAATTCGCAGAATTGTGTTTATAACGTAACATGCAAGTGCTTATACCTCTCCCACTTTTATATTCCGCTTGTAACTGCTTCACTCCGTAACATTCCGCCCGCCATTATCAATTCATTGATGATTAGATTTCGTATCTTTTGTGGGGACTGGCAGCACTGGAGAATGTGGATTGGTCTTGTGATTGTGGTTGAGTCAACTCAAGCAAGAAGTATGGAGATTTCTTCAAATGTCAATTATACACTGGTATTCCTTATGTAAGTTGTCGGAGCTTACCACTGTTTCCCATTTTTATCGTGTGAGGTAAACTTAATTCATATTCTTCTCAAACTTGGATAATTCCTTGAGAGAGGGTTCTCGGGTGATTGCGAACGAGTTCCGATGACGTGACAAATACCATGCTATCCTTGCCTGGTAGGTTTTGTTTCTACCCCTTGTAACCCTTTGAGTTATTCTTCCAATGCCCTTATCTGCTGTGCTCTTGTTGAATACTTCCACGAGGGTGACTTCATGTTTTTTTTTGTAGAATTGCTGAGAAGGCCTGAGTCTCAGTCATTGGTAATGTGGTGAGAATTCATTCAAGATGTGGTTGGAAGGGGTGAACGCGTCTTCTTCTGGACTCCATTGTAATCAATTTTATATTGTAGAGTCAGCAAGGCAATTTACACTTATAGTTTTCTAACGGTTTGATGGCGATGAGGACAGCGTTATGAATTAATTGCCGTTTTTTCTCCCTGGGAACCGCCCGCCATGCTGCGATTCTGCAGTTGAATCGGGTTCCAGTTGTAGTGCAGCGTGTTCTCATCTCCAAGATTCTTGACATCTCTGCCATGCGTGATGAGTGGCACAGCCAGGGGAATCTTTCTCCCTAGTTTTACACTAGTTGCTTTAGTGTCCTGATTGCAGTTAACGAAGCAGATCTTGTGCCTTGGCTAAAGTAATCAAATGATTGGCACTCATCCGTGGTTGTCGATCTAATGGATTCCTTGTAGGTCCTAGTTGTTCTCATCATCTTGTATCTGCTCATGGTGATGTTAGTGGATTCCGATTACCGCGTCTGACATTTATTTCTTTCCTTTGAGATTGGCACCAGCGTTCTTGATGTCTTTGGACGTTTGTATTATCTCTTCAGTTGAGGTTAGTGATGACCTACAGTTGCTTGGTTTGGACTCGAGTACTGTTTTTCATGTAGTGGTATGATGCCTCCCAGATCATCTGTTGCAGTTTCTGGAAGTGGTGCACTTGTAAGTGGTGTGAGGCGCAATTAGTTAGACCATAGTCGTTGCTCCTCCTTGAAACATTTTCTCTCCGTGACTGACAATTGCTTAGATTTGGGGCATGCAGTCACATAATGCTGTTGTTGGCAATGCATGCATATGGTGATCCATTGGCGTCCTCATTGACCATGGATATTCTTTTCAACAGGTGATAGGTATGTTTCACTGATCCCTTTGTAGTTGGTTGGTCTGGGTATGGTTTCCCATTGACGCAACTCTTGATTGTTCGAACTTGGGTTGATTGTTGCATTCGCCTAGTGATTCTTCCCAGTGTTTTCTTATATGCTGAGTGAGTCTGCGTTAGTTGATGGATAGTTATGTAGTCCTTTTAGTGGTCTTTTATGTCACAATGAGAATTCAAGTAGTTCAGCCTCATATTCTACTCGTGATGTGTTGGCACAGAGTTGATCTAAGTGAAATCGATTGTACAGTCGCGTTATACCTCTTAGCTCTCAGCTCTTGGCTCTTGGCTTTTGAGCGAAGCGTAACAGCTGTTAGCTTGTTTTTGAATTGGGTGTAGAGGATGGAATGTGAATCGTTGGATTTTTGTGTAGATATAGTGAGCGATATGTGTGATATTGCGAGCTTATAGGGTTAAGCGATTTAATTTACTATTAGAAATCCTTGAATTTGTTTTTAAGTTCACTATTCAATTTGATTGGTGCTTCCATGTTTCTATGTATTAGTACATTTGATTAATTCTTGTTTCTCAATGGGCCAAATCAACTGAATTAAATTCACCAATGTGTTTATTATCCGGACCCTTGAGTATCTCAATTCAATATCTGTTTTACTGGATTTATATTTATTTTTTCAATATATCATTAGATATGCTGTGTTCTAGGCTTAGGTTGTGAATATGACTTGACTGTTTTTCATTGTAATTAATTGACCTCTTTCTTGATTGGTTGGAGTCTGTTACTATGCCGATTATTATCGTGATGTCACTAGGATATAGCCTTGGAGAGTTCATCGGAATTACTATTCGGAATTATAATCTAATATTCGAGCATTCAGCGTCGTGAAATCTCCCGAATTCGCTGAATTGTGTTCATAACGTAAATGTCCGGGAGCTTATACCTCTCCCACTTTTGTATTCCGCTTTTAATTGCTTCATTCCGTAACAATAAAGCTTTCTAAATATCTTACGATTTAATTTAATTTTGAAGCAGAAAAATTTAAATATGATGATTTGAAATACTTTTAAGAAATTTTTTTAATTATATCATTTTAAATTTAGTATAGTTTTAAAAAGTTTTAAAAACGGAAAGTTCATTAAAGTACTATAAAGATAAATTTTCTTCTAAAATTTGATCAATAAAAACAGGTGTAAGTATCATTACATATCAAATATTGATGAAAATAAAAGAAAACTTCACACGTACCTTGTGTTTATCTACGTGAATGGACCTCAAATGAGGATCAAAAAGTAATTTGTCTGGTTCAATATTGATGGGACTTTGTCGCCTACCTTTGCTACATAAAGACCATTGTGGATTAATTAATCCCCAAAATGATGGACCTGAAATCATAAAATAAAAACATATTACATATTCCTATTAAAAATTATATTACTATAGACAGTTATATTTATTATATTTATTTACAATTTATATTAATAAATGATATATTTAAATGAGTAAAATAGTTATATATACAATACATTACAACACATTCTTTGTATATCTATACAAAGAATGATTTGTTAATGTCATTAATTGCAAATATTTAAGTTGATAAAATTATTCCAATTTCTATTGAATAATTAAATATTTATATATAATTCCCACAATTAATTTTTAATTCCATACTTAATTTAATTCATTCCATAATTAATTTTAAATATCAATGTAACTAGTAATATTATCACGCTTTGCATTCAATATGATTAAAACATACATTTTTTGATATACTGTATGTTACGGATTCAGACAGTTAAAAGAGGAATACAAAGTGGGAGAGGTATGAGCGCGCGAACATTTGTTTTGTAAACACTAGCCAACGAACTCGAAAAATGCTTCTACACCGAAACTCGAATGTACGACTATAATGCCGAAAAGTAATAACAATGAACCCTATAAGGCTTTGCCCTATTGACGTCACGACAAATATCGGCATAGCAACAGCCACCGATGCGCTATCGGCGCCGCAAGTACGTACGAGAATATTTAAGAAGCTGCACTTGCCGCGCTTTTCTCTTTTACTAGGTCGACCGTGCACTCTTCATGACAGGCTCGCCCTGCGACTACACGGCTCCAGCTAATTCACGTAAGCTACGACCAGACGCTCGTTCCTTACGACTACGACTACAACGGCTCCAGCCAACTCGTGTAAGCTACGACCAAACGCTCGTTCCTTACGACTACGACTCCAACGGCTCCTGTTAACTAAGTAAGCAGCAACGCACAACGGACGTGCACCGCTACCACAACCATATTGGATCTCACGAATGCCTACGCAGCGACGCATCACGAACGTCATTCACCACTACAGGTGTAAGAGCGGTCCTCACACTCGCTAACGCAACACAGAAATCCTCCCACCAATCCGACCACTACAGCGCTCACTCTACGCCGGCGGCTAAGGCAGCGCCCACTCGCTGCCCCCTCCAGTGCGAGTCTCCCACTACAGTAACTCATCGAGGCTCCCACTACAGCAACTCATTGTATGAAGAGAAAGGGAATTACGCTACCAAGAATATACTTACACTCTCATCATCATGTAACCAACATACGAAATCTCCTTATTTACTCACTTACACCTTCATTAATACTCCTTACAAATCATTAACTATTTATTATATTTATTATATTTAATAAAAGGAAAGACAATAAACATTAAAGGCAGTATTGAATAATTGCATTGCCCCTTCCACTTGCCAGCAAGCCTCCACCCTCCATCAAAAGGAGGTTTTTAAGTCTGATCCCAGACACTATATGTAATGTTCAGTACAGCATTTTTTTATTTAATAATATTAAGCTTCCATCATGATTTTTTGCAACACTAATTATCTATATACTTGTCATTACTTGATCAAATAAGCGTTCGTTTATTAAAACATAATATTACAAATTTTTTATATACTAAAAAGCAGAGAGAACAAAATAGTAGTGATAGTAGTAGTAGTAGTATTATATATATATGTAAACTAAAAATATGAGTAAATTGATACAAATTTTTAATACATATCGTTAAATTTTTAATATAATAAATAATTTATATTAATAAGTAATAAAATATTATTTTACACCCTATGAAATAAATATTACTATTCAATAATAAATTATTTTAAGATATTTTAATTAAATTTATTTGTTATATTAAATTATTAAAATTATTAAATATTTGAAAGTATATTTTACTCAATAGGCGAGAATATATGTATCATAATTTATATATTATTTTATCATAATTTTATATTACTAAATTACATGTAAATATAAAAAAGAATTTTGATGAAAAATGTATTATTATTGAAGAAAATGTTTTTTTTAATATACAATAAGATTGTTCGATATACATATTTTCTAAATAAAATACGTAATATTATATCATTTACATTTAATCTCACAAATTTATAAACATTTTAAATATACTATTATTAGTTTAAGCGTGTATTGTTTCCTTTTATTAATGTTATGTTATATATTGCTATAAAATACTTTTTCATTTTTATTCAATATATTACATTTTTAAACATTAATTTATAAGACAAATATTTCTACTGTTTTGTAATATGTTTGCTATTTTTGTTAAAACTAATTTTTATTAACTTTCAAATTTAACACATTAGTTAATTACTATTTATCAATAAATTGTTGGCATATTTTTATTTCCTTTTATAAATTATACATTTTAACAAGAAAATACTGAAAGTACAGATAAGGGCCAAATGAACCAAGCCAGAAGTAAAGGTAAGAGGCTTTTTCAAAGGTAAATAGATTATTATTTCTGTATAATTATATTTAATGTCAATAATTATTTTTTTGTACTTTTCCAATAAGAAAAAATTTATACATATTATAAATATTATGCTTTACAAAGAGTTCAATTACATTATAAATAAATTGCTACGTAAGTCGAGTATCATAATAAAACACATTTAATAATTTTGGTAATTTTTGGTATTGCACTATTATAATTACCTTTATATTAAAATGAATGGTATAATACAATATACAAATTATTATATGGATTTAAATGTCTATGAATGCATAAATTAAAATTTAAATTAAAAATAAGAACGTATATACAGTACTTTAATTTTCTTCTTATTATTATTATTAAAATAATTTGATTGTATGTTGAACATTATAAACACTTAAATACATAACATGAATAATGCCATCAAAATCATATAAATTAATTACATTATGTTCGGGATTGAAGCAGTTTAAGCAGAATTTAAAATTGGGAAAAGTACAAACTCCCGTACGCTTATGTTTGTAAATATGATTTAGCGAATTCGGGAAATTTCCTACGCAGGATATTCGAATATACGATTACAATTCCGAATAGCAATGCTGATGAACCTTCCAAGGCTATATCCTGATGACGTCACGATAAATTTCGGTATAGCAGAACGCATCAGCGCTGTGCCGGCGTCGCAAGCTGCTACGTGTATATTTAAGAGCAGCTTATGACGCGCCGTGCACTGTACGAGTAACATTTACTTAGTCACCACTGCGGGCTCACTATTTCTCTCTTCGAATATTCAACCGACAGTTATCACTCACTGTAGGTATAAAAGTACTTAATCATCAATTAACAATCAATGTAATAAACCAATAGTGACGCCACAACAATCATAATCCGTTAGTTATATTCAAGAAGCGCTAGTGCTAAGCGTAATTTAAGAGTGAAAATAACGAAAGCATAACACCAACATATATTAACGTATCTCAACATAGATACACAAGCGACGGCTAAACAGTGACGGCTCATCACGCACACTTATAAGCGGCGGCTCATCACGAGACTTAACAGTGGCGTCTCACACGCACACTTAGAAAGCGACGGTTACACAGCGGCGTCTCACACGCTCGCTTAGAAGCAACGGCTAAAGCAACGGCGTCTCACTCGTTCACTTAGCAAGCTACTGAAGAAACTTCATAGATTTATGTCACTCATAATCACCATTCATATCCATCTATAACCATTAATTATTATTATATTACTGTATTTAATAAAGGAAAAACCAAGATATACTGTGTGTAGAATTGAATAATTGCATTTGCTTCCTCCACTTACCAGCAACACTTCAACCTAAAACAGCATCAGGAGATTTTAAGTCTGATCCCAGACACATCATATGTTATTCAATTAGAAAAATGTTATAAATATTTAAATTTATATTTTATAAACATTTAACATTTTTAAAAATAAATCTATAAAATAGAAACTTCAACTTAAAAGCTTACAATAATAAATATACTATTATATATTAAATTAAGAATACTTTAATACTTATTAAAACTCTGAAGCTTAATAAAACAGATATAGCTTAAATTTTTTATTTATGAACTTGTTCGGGATTGATGCAGTCCCATGAATTTCAAACAAAAGAAAGGTCATACGCGCTGTCCGGCGTACAGCATGTGCGCCTAGACTGGTATGCACGTGCGGATCGGGACGCGCACTCGAGCGAATGTTTACAAACAAAACTCGGCAAGTCCGAGCAAGTTTACGACCAGAAATATAATATACTATAAGATGACCCAAGGGTATTACTCCTACTTTTCTCTCGTCGAACATTCTCGAAGGTTCTAGAATTTTCCTTACACGCCTCGTGTAAGAATTAGTGAAACAACGACGATGCTTTGTTGCCAGCTAAGTGAGCCGCCGCGTGGCTATATAAGAGACGCACGCGGCGCGCCTCGACCTCTTGCTAATCATCTCTTGCCGAACCACCCTCGCTCAACTGCGCTTGCAGCTCACATCTTGCCGTGACTCGACAGTAGTGACACCGACCATAGTGAACCGATCTAACCATCTACCAGTAGAAGCCATGGCACACGGGTCTCGATCTGCCCTTAGCAGGACCGCCATGGAATGGTCGGTATTTTCAGCAGAGCCGCCACGGAACGATCAAGCCTTCGGTTCGTGCGCGTATTCAAAAGGCTCATTTGTAATATCTTTTCGCGCTCACTCAAGTGTATCTGCCGCTCAGTATTTTTGTATACTGTGAAGACGACGCGTGGCCACATATTCGGCAGCATAGTGAAGAATACACGCGTGCATAAGAACAAGAAATTGGCAAATTAGATAGTGATTACAGTAAAGCCAATGGAATAGTGATCAAAGGGGACATCGATTACGCAGCAGTAATACACCTTGCCTGCATTCTACAAGGTACATACTTTTATATTAATAAATTAGTTAGTCAAACCTCGCACACAACAAGTCGGGCACATTTACGCTATTTCGAAGAGCATTTTGAAACCGTACAAGTCCATAAGAGTCGATCGGGCAAACTTACGCTCTCTCGAACTAACACTTCGAAACCGTACAGGCCCTCAACAG